GAGTTCTTGTCGCGAGCGTCTCCGTCGGGGCCGTCCCAAGTCGGTCGCTGCTCGTCGCTGACAAGAAAAAAATGGATATCTTGACCGCTATCCAAACGCATTGGAGGTCTATCTTTATCGACGTTTGGCTCCTACAGCAGTAGTATGCCCGAGGACGACGCCTTGGTGCGCCACCTCGATCAGCTCAAGAAGGAGCTGCAAGCCAAAGGCGCCTCGAAGGCGCAGATCGCCATACAACTCGACAAGGTACGATGCTCTTGCGCGGCCATCAACCGATCGAGCAGCGTAGGAGTACATGGCCAAACGTCCGTACGTATCGCCAGCGTTCACAAAGATGGAGGTGCTCGCGATCGGTACCTCCTTCCTCGTCGATGCTACGACTACATGCATGAATTCCTAGTTTCGGCGTTCGACGAGAGCGTGATTGCGCTCCAAGAAATGGGCAAATCCGACTTTTTAGACCCGCTCGGGTGGGACTTGCCGCCGTCCGAGGCCGTCCTCACCACCGTGCGCTGCGTCCTTTGGCTCTTCAACGTGCCGTCGCCAAAAGCCACGTCTTCCGTGCTCTGGTCGGGCGTCTGGGCCGCTTGGATCGTCAAGAACATTGATGCGCACCTGTGCGGGTGGGAGTGGGTCGCTTGCAACGAGCCCATGGGACTCTTCACCAAGCCGTACGACCTCTCACGCCTGCATCTCGACGACCTGCAAGCGTCGCTGCCGTCGACATATCGCGTGCCGCCGTCCGATCCGTCTTGGCAGCGCATGCCCGCGTACCTCTTGCTCCGCGACTGGGTCTCCTGCGCCGTCGACCACGTGCACATGCAGACGCATGTGCTGCCGACGGCGGTCGCGGCACCGTACTTGGCCAAGGTGCTCGAGCCCCCAACCCGGACGCCCAAGGAAAACGTGTGGTTCATCGCGCACACAGAGGACGGCGGTGTCCCGTACTACTACAACCGCGACACCCAAGCGTGCGTTCTCGACGAGCCGCCGTAGGTGCTTGCCTCTAGTATCTTCGTTGTCGATGCTTCTGTGCAGGGACTTTGACGGTGCCCGAGTCGTCGTGCCCCGCTTCATGGAGCTGCAGATGCTCGAGGTCCTTCTCTCGGATGCCAAGCTGCGTGCGGACATGGAGGTGCGTCGCGTCGCCCTCGAGCTCGCGCGGGACAAGGACAACGCGTGGGTCGAGTGCATCGACCTCGCCACGAAGGCACGCTACTACTACAGCTTTCAGCGCTGCAAGCTCACATTCACGCGGCCCAACTCGCGCAACATCATCAAGGCCGAGAGCAGCCCGGCGTACCGCAGCGTCGTGCGCATCCAGAGCGCGTACCGGCGGCGGCAGGCGCTCGCGCTCGTGCGGGAGAAGCGAGCGAAGCGAAAGCACATGCCACGCTTCGCGTCGCGCCACTTTGCGTAGTACAATCACATTAGAGTACAATTACTCGGTCTTGGGCTTCTCGAGGCGCAGCCAGTTGCGGCGGACAACGAGGCTCCAGAGCAGGCACGGCGCGAACGGGGCCATGACGATGTAGAAGCCCTCGACCGCGTCCGTGTAGTGCTGCAGCACGTAGAGCACGAGCGCGAGGAGCGTGAAGAGGCCGTACATGCCCGCGACGAAGTCGTAGTTGATCGTCTCGGCCGGGGCAAAGAGGGCGAACGCCATTCCTGTCTGTCTCTTCCGTGGCCGCGTGGTCCAAAATGATACAAAGCCTCGAAGGCAGAGATCGAAGTTTTGCGTACTTCGAACTTCGATGGTACTGCCCAGGGATGGCAACGCCACGGTGTCGTATTTCCCGTCATAATTCTGTCATAAAGTGTAATAAAAGGGCTCTTTTATGACAGTTTTTTTATAACAGAAATATGACATATTTATGACAATATGAGAATAATGCGCTCGTTGGCTGCTTGTTCCACAGCTAAACACCCCTACACCCTCTCACCCGCAATCCCAACATCCTCCTCTCCTTCTAACCTCTTCCTAACCTCCTCCTAACCTCCTCCTCTCCTCCTAGCCTCCTCCTAACCTCCTCGGCGTGGTCGAATCCTACCCCAAAAAATTATGACGTTTTTATGACAATATTATGACTTATGACAGAATTATGACGGGAAAAAAACGACCCAACGCCACAACCAGAGCGCACGCACCGGCGCGGAACGAGCTCACAATACTCTTTTGTCAGGCGGTGTATTACCGGGATTACCACTATGGGTTTTTTCTTTTTCTATGTGGTCCGTCGTCAAGCTACTTGATCGACCAGCAGCGTCCGCGGTCGTGAGCCAGACCCGTGTTGCGGAGTTCCACTTGGATGCGACCGTGGGCCGACCTGGAGCTGCAGCACCCGAAGGTACACAGGGGGTGCTCACTCGAACTCGCGGGCTGATGGAAGTCGTTGGCTTGGCGACCGACGCGAAATGTCGGGTGGTCTGGATGGTTGATGAAGGTTGAATGCTCGTGG